GAGGGGGGGGGGGGGGGGGGGGCTCCCATCTCTTCTCCTGGGGGAAGGCCTGCTGCTTAGTGAATAACTGCACTGGTTAGTCACTCGCGCTGAACAGGCAGCAGGTTGGCAGGAGCTGCCCAGTGCATGCTTCCTCCTGTGCTCGTGTTGAGACCCAGTTCTCTGGTTCAGGCCGAGACGCTGTGCCGCATGGCAGCTGGTATTAACTAGTCCCTACAGCAGTATGTGAGCTTGGTTCTCCGTTTCCAAGAGATGGGAGAGAGTGCTGTGATCTCACACCTTATTTGTGTCTGCATGTTTGTGTCATTGACAGCTGGGATGTTTCAGGTCATTAGAAGAACACAAGCAGAGTGTAAAGATGTGACCTGCAGTCTCAAGTGTCTTTGATGGGGAGGTGGTGGTAGATTTGCAACAAGACAAAAATCGGAGAAAGGAACCCAAAATTCACTTAGGTTTCTAATGGACTCCAGTTTGAGCTTACAGGGCAGGTATTTGCCTGCCTTGTGCCTGGGTCAATCGAGCAGAACCGTAATCAAAAGATGGCTGTTCAATATGAAAGGGAAAATTTCCGTAATAAATTGCCATATAATGTCCTAGCTGGGTACCACCTTGTGAGATGACTCAAAGGTGATCAGCCACAACTTGCAGTGAAATGTTTGGGAAAGGAAGAGTCTCTAACACACGTGGGGACAATGAACATTGATCTGGACTCCCATAACAACTTTGACCCTCTGCCTCTCAGAGGAGAGACACATGCTTCTTCATTTCAGACATACTTCTACTATGCCAGAAATGGAGATATCCAGCCCACACAGTGTGTTGCTATCAAATGTGCACTGATCACCCGGCCTGGTGCACAGGATGTTTCCTCTTCAGATGTCTGCTTGGCCTGAATCCTGGGCAGGCTCTAACTTCTGCAGAAATAATTAATATCTCATCTCTGCCAAACTTGCACAAGTCATTTAAACAAACTGGTTCTCACTGCCTCCCCCCAGAGCCCCGTCTCCGCTTCTCATCCTGATACCTTATCGTGCTATGGACAGGATGTTTTACATTGCTTTCTCTATGGTGACCGGACAAACATCCTTTCACTATCAAAAGCCCTTGGAGTGTTACTGTATTGCAGAGCCTTTGATCTGTGCTTGGATAATCAAAGATAAAAATAGACTCCTCCCACCCTGCTTTATATCTGGCTAGTCCTGATTTAATAAAAGTTGAATGTTCACCATCGTACACCCAAAAACTTGTAAATGGTATTGCAAAGGCCAGGAGAAGGGTTTGGATCCTGGTCACTGAATACAAGATAGACAGTTTGGGTGTTGTCCCAACACAGTCTCAAACTAGTGTCACCAGGAACAGATAAGTGTGTATGGAGTTAGTGTTTGTTCTTCATTAAAGTAATTTCACTGTGATTTATCATCAATATGATTTATCAGTCATATTACACATCTCCTTGTGCCAAGAACTCCTGAATCGCCTGGCATTTGCTCCCTATTGTTCTCATTCCTGTTGCTTCTTAAAGTGACTTCAAGTATTGGTAGGCAGATGGGTCTTGTCCTTCACCCTTTATTATTTGAGATCGAATTTAAAAGCCCGAGAGCTTTGTAGGTTGTGCTTGGGCAGCTATGGATTTTTTTTATTTTTTCTTCTAGACTGATGTGTGTGGCAGTAATTGGTTTGAGAAACCCCATTCCCAGGCTAAACCTGAAGTCTGTGTCCTGTGTACTGCTTCGTGTTGTGCTGCTATTATTGGCTAAATGTTTTATCTTGGACAACAGTTGTCATGGCAAGTTTATCATGCCAGATCTGCAATCTCAGATCTGCCAGCCCGTGAGAGCAGAACCTCTAACACCACGAGCCAGTGCATTCCCCTGTTTTCTCGTATTTAGCTGCTGTGAGATGACACCAGTTTGCATTCTGTGTATTTAATGGTGCCATTTAATTAGGACTGGACTGCAGAAGTGACTGATTAAAAGTTATCTGTCATAAGCACAGACAGAGAAAATCTCTAAAAATGGAAAAATAGTAGAAATTCATACTGAAAATTTCTCTGGTTAAATCCGTCCTCATGTTGAAGGCAAAGAGCTCACAGTCCATCCTTACAAAAATGTTTTAGCCTCTGTTCCTGAGCACCAGCCTCTCTGGGAAGAGCAGCTTTTCCAAGTACGGGTGCCATGTCTTTTTCCAAGTCTTCTCATTCGGTGGGGTAGCAGTAACATTTTTACCGTGTTACGTTTATATCCTAGCTGCTGTAGCACAATGCACGCAAGTGTTTGGCAAAGCAGGTATGCAGTTGGGGGATGAAATTTGTACCAGATGTGCTGGACAAGCTCCTTTACCTGACTTAGAGCAGCCTGTGAATTGAGAGCCGGGGGGGGGGGATTCACCGTGTGCTTTCCCTGAAACATGTCCTTGCCTGGCAGCACTGCTCCGGTCCTGCACCTTGGGAGGAGGCCCTTCTGGAGGGCTTTGGGTAGTGGCCCAGGCTGGCACAAGCCCGGCTCCCTGCTGTGTGGCAAAATAGGGAGGCCTCTCTTGAGAAGGGCTGTATGCATCCCGTCGTGCCTCACCGGGGGCTTCTGACTCCATCCAAAGGTAAAGAATGACTCCGTCTGGTAAACAATGCGGAGATTCGATCTCTCTTGTGCATCCTTCTGTGTGTGCAGCTGCCATTACTGGGATAAGCCACCCTTTGCATTTGCACTTATTCCTATAAGCAACGTGTTATTTCCGATTAATACATTTTTCTTTACTTAAATCATGTCCTATGCCTGTTGTGTTTCTAGCCAGGTCTTCTAGCTTGTCTTCTGCAAACTTCTCATTGCAGAGAAACTTAAACGTATCTTTTGGGCCTTCTAGATGGATAATTGGAAGGAGGTGGGAAAGTTTCAGTGGGTGTTCCTCTTTTCTCTGCAATTTTGCAGAGTCAGGTAGAGCAGTGGGATGCTTCTCATACTAACCTTAAAGGATCACCCACCAGCCTGAAGTGACTACAGTAGATCTTGCAGTGTTGTACTTGGGGAGTGGAGCAGAAGCTTATAAGAAAATTTTGGTAGTCTCTTAGGTCGCTAATTTCTAAGAAGAGACTTGGTGGACACTCAAAGCCCCTTCAGTTGCGTTGTGTTTGGTTTGTTTTATTTTTTTTATGGACTGTGCTCTTGGTCTTCAAAATCATCCTCATCTCTAAGAATAATTTGCACGCTAAGGCAAACCTGGTATCTTTTGAAGCATGATAATATCCAGAAGGCTGGTAGAACTGGCTTCTTGCAGCTCACATGGTGTAGAAGGTTCCCTTGCAAGGTTACACCTACTCCCCCAAAACTCCAGGTGAACCAGCGAGTCGGAGAGGAGGGCCAGGCTTGGATGGATCTCAGGAGCCGGTTAGAGCAATGTGCACCTGGATCTAAATTGCCCTGGACTGGTTTGGAGCCATGGGACACAAAGGGGACTTCTAATACTGCAGTGAGCAGAGCTTCATGTCATGGGGGAATCTAATCTCTGATCTCGTCTCAGCTTTGAATGTGTTTTTCCACATTTTTGATGTAAACCACATTCTTCAGGTTTGCTAGTCTTTTTACCTCCCCGCCAGTCTGCGGAGTAAATTCGCAGAGGAGGGATGAACAACTGTTCTGCCTTTAAGATCAAGACTTCACTTTTGATGTTTGGTCAGCAGGAGGAGAATGTCTTTCATTGGAGACCTTGGTACAAATGGGTCTACATTAAGAAACAAAATTGGGTCGATGGTTTTGGTCTGGTACTTAAGGCCACGTTACGAAACAGGCAATAACTCTGTGCAATTTATGGTTTTCAGGAATGCTGAAGAGAAGTCTAGGGTTGAAATACCAGCAGTACAGCAAGTGCACTGCAGGACTGGACTGAGTGTGTTCATAGCTATTAAGCTCTTGGTTTATTTTAAAAGAGTCTGAGATAACAGGTCGGGGGCTTCAGGCTTGGATTGAGGTTTGTGATCCACTTCTCTAGTAGATCCCTGTCTGGGTGCTTTTCCAGCACACATCCTGGAGCAGATGCTTTCTGTCTGCTCCCTTTTTGTCTGAACTGGGCCCTTGCTGGCCTAGGCTCAGGGTCACTGCTTCACCTCTGCCACTGCAAGAGGGGCCACAGCTTTTCCTGGAGCGCTGCCTTGCAAAGGAGCACTGCAGTTTGCCTCTTCAAGAACATGTAGCGTTGCCCAAGATGTGTCATGCTTGGCAAATTTTAAATTACAGATCTACAGCCTTGAGCTGCTGTTTCTTGAAACCTTCTTTGGCCTTAATTCAGGATCCTTTAGGTTGTCACGAATCATTCAGCCGCTGGTGCTGGCTTCGAAACATAGGGTCTCTCTCTGCCCTCTCTCATCAGTCGTTGCCCTTCCAGGTCTCTCTTGTAGTAATTCATTTGGGTTCATTCATCTCTGCAAGATGAAAGTTGGCTGAACAGACAGGCACGTTAAGGGCTAAATAATAATACCGAGTTATTAGGGAGTGCTTTCTATCCAGAAGGTCTAACTAAGCCTTTTCCAGAGGAAGTTGATACTATCTTTTTAATGGATTGTGAAACTGAGGCCAATGCCCTCTCTGCAGCACTTGGGATGGAGCACAAGTCCCTGACACCCACCCCAACACGCTACTCTGATGGTTCTTTTCCTTTTATTTGCGTCTCCGAGCACACATCTCCTGGATGATCCCAGTGCTGCCTTTGGTTCTTTCTTTCAGAGGAAAAGAAGGAATTGTGCCCTTTTCTCCAGCACGTATCCTCCGTGGTTTCAGTCAGATGTGTGCTATCACATGGCTTTTCTGGCTCTGTGTGCTTCTCCCAGTTGTTGTTCCAGAGGCGGAAAAACATGCTGGAAGAGTTATTGCTTTTCTCCTTTTTATTTGATGTTCTTTGCCTGTCTCTGCAGAGCCATTTAGATAAGGGGATTTATCAAGCTTGAACTAATTAACCCTGGATGCAGGAAGTCAGAATGGAGCATTCCAGCTGTGAAATCCTCAGACTTACCCTGAAGCACACATGGGTCTGAAGGAATTTCACATCTCTTTACCCTTGTCGGCAAATCGCTATGGTGAACTTTTCTGTTGCCTTACTGGACTTCTCTCACTAATGTGCCATGAGGGTGGTTTGTTGGCAGGGCTATTTCAGTAACCCAGACTGCCTGTAGCAGGAGTGCGTGCAGCACAGGGTGTCTCTGCTGCCACTTCAAGGTTCTTGTTCCTGGAGATTTTTTTTTTCCTTTATTGAGAGAGAGGGTTGATTTTGATAGAAATACAGTAATTTTGCCTGTAGGAAGATGCTTTAGAAGTTGTTGCAATCACTTTCTCAGTGCAGAACTGGCAGCCAAAGAGTGACTTCACAAAAAAGGGAGGAAAGCAGCTACCTGAAAGGTCAAGATAGGAAAAAAATGGTTGCTTAGTTGACTGCACGGGGAGGTTGTGCCTTCAGAGCCTCCTCCCCCTTGTTTCATGTGGCCATAGGTCCAGTGGGTCTTAAGAGAATAGCTATCCAAGACAGAGTTTTAAAATCTTGCTTTGGTTTTTTCGGTGTTCCCTGGCTGTGCTTGGTGGTGTCAGACTGTCTGGGAAGTGCAGCAGGACTCTGATCCCAAATGTGTCCTCCTGCCAGGGTTAAAGAGTGATCCAGAGAAAGGTTCTGAAACTCTGATCCAGAAGAGAGACCTCAGTGACATCTGGAAACAGTGAAAATTACGAGGGCTCCAACAGAATCCAAGCCAGAGAGGAGAAATAACCTTGTGCCTACCTCGAAGTGCCAATCTCTTGTCAGCGCTAGCAGAGCTGAAGTGCTGGTTCACATGGGAATCCTTCTATCGCTACGGCCATGAAACTATTTCCCTCCTACAGGACAGCGTGAAGGGGTGGGAGGGAGGGATGTCATTTAATCATACGAAGATCAGTCACACTTTCATCTTTGTGAAGAATTGCAGTTCCAGATTTAGTATCTCCTTTTGGCACCAAACCATTTGAAAGTGTCTCTTACTCTATTGTGAAGGTCAGAAGTGCGGGTAATGAGTCCCCTGATAATTCAGCACAGACCTTTCCCTTGGAGGACAAGACCTCTGATAAAAGCGCAGGATTGCAAGTCAGGAGGTGATAAACTCTAATGGAGATGTTCTTTGGAGCCTGGAAGGGGTGCATAATTTCTGTATGTCTGCGCTTGGGCTGTTGGGAGAATAACACTGTCTTATCTTTAAGGAGTGGAGTGAGCATCGTTCTGTTAATGTCTATGAAGTTTGCAGACACATTTAATGGTACATTTTTTTGCTGGAATTACCTGCTTAGGTTATTTTTTCCTTTCTCCCCCGTGCATTGCTGTGTGAGCAGAACTGCTTGCTTCTTTGTGAACCAGACTGGGGAGAAAGAAATAGTCTGCGTTAAGGGAAAAAAAAAGATAGAAAGGTTTTCGACAGGATTATTTCAAGGTGGATCGGTTCCCTGGGCCGTCTGCAGTGCAGATGCACAAGTACCTTGTTCCAGCACACACGAGGCAAGGCGGGTATTGGCAGGGAGGGGACATGTAGTGAGCGAGCGATACCTTGAGCTTCTATTGCTGTCAAGAGCGTACTGTTGAACCAGACCCAGATACTCTTGGCCTAGTGTATGTTGACACTGGAGAGAAAGGCTCGATATCGCCAGTTCATGTTCTCTCTGCTTTGACTGAAAGGAAAGCTTGAATCCGGTGTAACTTCAGCCCATGTTCATTATGATTTTTACTGTTTTTTCCAGATTGCCCGACAGGAAGGAAGAGTCATTTTAACCTCTGGACTCCCATATCAGACTGTAAGTGTTCAGAGCTTCTGGCATTTTTCTGGCATTGTATCATTGCATGGTCTGGGATGTGCAGTGTAGAGAAGAGGAAAAGTCAGATGTGAATGCAACAGCTGGCTGGCTTTTTCGTGTTTTCTGCACTAAAAACTACATTAAGGGTCTTGAGAGGTTTGCTGTTCTGAATGACCAAAGCTCGGAGTGAAATTTTTTTTATACTCAGTACCGCATCAGTGGGGAGAGCGATTGCTCTCCATTGGGGGCGGGGGGTGGAAATCAAGCCAAGCAATCCAGAACAAAGTGTTTCTGTTTAGCCTCACTGGCAGGTGAAAGGCAGCTCAATTCCCATGCTTTTTATCACAAAGATTCTTGTTTACTGACTGGCTCCACAGTGACATAGTTTCAACACTTAAAGACGTTTCTTCAGGCTTGGAAGGGAGAGAATGGAAGCCGCTAAGCATGGGTCCCGGTGGAAGCTGTAGAGGTTTTGTGTTCCTATAGATGCACAAAAAAACCCAAAGCGAAACCCAACTTTACCCTCAGCACCAGATGTTCAGAGCCCTTCATGGGACACACTTCAAAATGGAGTGTTGGTGGAAATACACTGAACCTGTCAAGTCAGTGGTTGCAATGTCATGATGCCTGCTGCAGGTCCTTTGCACTTTGTTGCTCCCCAAAAATTCATTTGGAAGAGTGAAACTATTCTAGATTAAACATGTGAGCCAGAGTGCAGGACTTCTTTGTTACAAACTATCAACATAAAAGCTCCCAACTACTCAAGTAGCTAGTTGGAGTATTTGCAGAATGTAGGTTGCTAATTTCCTACATAATAGCTGAGCATTGAAGAAAACTCCCCCCGCGATGAGACACTGGGAGGCAAGTGCAGCCGTGCCACACTGCAGGTTCCTTATCCAGACTGTGGTTCCTTGAGCCTACAGTTGATGTAACAGGTAATTCAGCATCCAGCATAATCTTATTTGGCAAAGCTTTAACTTCAAAGTACTGTGTAGGAATTGCAAAAGGAAAATAACTGCTTCCCAGTGTACGACACTGTCCTGGGAAATGTCTGGTTCCCTTTGTTCCTTTGCCTTTGTATGCCCTTCATGAGGACAGGATGGCTCTGCTAGTCTCCTTTACTTGCATGCAGCTAATCCCACCCCGCTGTGAGCACTGATCATGTTCATAAAGATGTGCCTGGAACTTCCCAGTGCTTGCTCCCAGATACAGACTTCTCTGCTAAATGTGGAGCAAACATCGAGAGACTGTCCACATCAACCACTTCGAATTCATTGGCCACCAGTGAAGTCCAGATGAAACGGTGTATAAACTAGAAGGGTTGAAGTGGTAAAACTGTCATTGGACATTATCTCCATCATTGTGCTTTTGCATACTGTGTGTGATCTAGCCAGGTTTCACGTGAAAGCTGTGGTTAAAGTCAGTTTCCTCTTGCTACCCCTGTCAGCACCACACCACCAAATTGTAAGTTGAAGGGGACTTGGGCGATCATGTTTCATATATCTATAAAATGCTGCAGTGCTTCAGTAGCCTCAGAGCTATTGCAGCAGTGGCTAAGTGTTAAATTACCAATTGTGCTTGTCAGATCAAAATTTAGACTGTAAGCACATACTAACGCCAAATATTATTTGTAATTAAAACCAAACCAAGGGTATTGGGAAGAAACCCATGGATCATGATGCATGGAGTGCCTCATTTATTGTCTTTTTGGTTTACGACTTGTCTTTTGAAGCTGCAGTCCCAGGTAGCAGAAGGAAGGTGTTTCTCTGTGAACTGCTCAGAAAAGGCAAAAGAACAGGCCCTGCAGGTTCTGAAGCACTTCAACGTTCAAGTATCCCTGGCAGATATCTTCAGCCGCTGCCAGGTAGGACAAGGCTTGTTTGAGTTAAAGTTCATGCTCGCTCGCCGTTTCGTGCACAGCAGGCACTGCTTCAGCCTTTTGGGTCTTGCACTCAGTGTATTCTACTCGGTTCCCAAGATTTCTGCTTGAACTTTGGCAACATCTTGCAAAGCTGTGAGAAGTTCTGAATGTGCTAACATCCGTCAGAAGTGTTGATGACTAAGTCAGAAGAGCAGAGGCACTGCATCTGCAGCTTTGCTAGAAACTCTGCTGTTTTTCTGATTTTTGGTACTTGGCATGTGTTTTGGCATTGACTATCACGGTTATAGTCTCTTTGTTGCTGTGTTCTCTGTCTAGGACACATGCTGTTTTAATTATAAACCATGTTTAATTATGGCTCTGTGATTCTGATAACACTTAATTACTTTAATAGGAGGATTTTTTTTTTTAGGACTGTATTTTTTTTTTCAGAAGCTATTAGGTTAATTCATGTCCATGCTAGTTGATGACTCCAGATTGTGTTTGGCACTGGATATCTGTGGATTGTTGTTAAGAAGAAATTTTAATTGTGTTAGCTCAAATCTCCATCTCTTCCAGTTTCACTCGTGTATTTGTTAGAGTAACACGCTGAAACCTATCCCTTCAAAAACTGTAATATAAACCAACTTGCAACTTCAACATCTCTCATCTTATCAGTGTTTAAAGAGAGAAAAAGAAGAAACTGCAAATCTGGCTAGAAAAGGAGCTTTCTCTCAGGAATAAACAAGCCAGCTGAACACTGCAGTGAAGTCTGGCTCAGTGCCTTGTAGTCAAGCTCGTGGGGTCTCCTGGCCTGGTGGAACTGCACAAGTGTTGTAGGAATAGCAATGACTTCTGAGCAAACACACCAGAGAGCATTTTCTAGACCTCTGCTTATATCTGATGTCGGTTATTGAAACTGTATCTGTAACTTACAGAGAAAATGAGAGTTGTCCAGCTGTGCAGGTTGTCTATAAGAGGAGAATGACGTAACACCATGCAGATTGGATCGACATAATATGGGTTGATCTTACTTCAAGATAAATGTATATATTCAGATATAAGATAGTGCGCTCAGTCTTGCGGTTTTATTGTTCCGAGAACAGATTGCAGTTGTTATATAGTGACACACTGGCTTCTTTGCCATTTAAAAAAAAAAAACCTTTAAAAAACCTTGTGGATTCTCCGATTCCCTGAGATCCCATAAAATAGCAGTGTTCTTCCTGATGGTTGTTGAAAGACCCCAAGAATAAGCACACAAAAAAACATGCTGCAGAAAACTCTGTGATATCTGTAATAAATGCAGAAGACTGTGCAGCATACGATATAAAACTGACCCCTTGCCCATGATCTGGAGTCTGGAACTGTTTAACTATACGGCTTTTTAGTACGTGCTGTCTTAGTTTACAGTATAAATAGGAGTAATCAATCTGGCTAGGAATATATACTAAGTGTTCTCTTACTTCCAGGAGAAATGCCTTCCCTGTAAATTGTGGTGGTAGAACAGCTGCATGTTTTATACCGCTAGGCATGGGAAGATGCTATTATTTGTCAAACTGCTCTGTGTTCTGATTCATATATTTACCTACATTTAAGGCTTTGGCATTTTGGAGCTGATTTTGTTCAGCTGTCCTCTACAGACTGTACAAGTTTCGCTAATACGTTGCTGTTGCTCTCGAGGAGAATCCAAGCTCTTACAGCTGCGCATGTCCAGCAGACACCCAGCCAGTTCCCCAGGGGTGCTCGGCACTGCGGCTCTCAGTAGGTCTGCGTGCGAGGGGGAGAGCGGTGGGCAGCTGCTTGGGAAGGATCATACTGCATAACTGCAGAGTATTGACTGCCCACATGAAAAATGGCAAATTTCTGCTTTTAAGAGGGTGCTCTGTGGCCAACAGAGACCTCAGCACTTCATTTGTAAGTTCCTTCTAAAACATCCTAATTCTCTGCAAACTTAATTGGGCTTAATTAGGATGGAGGCTAGAGCCTTAAACTGCTGAGCTGTGCCTTCCATACTGCCTGTTCTGGTCTTTAACCGGGTTACAGACCTCAGGGCTTGCAAAGTGCTTTGAGGTCTGCCACCTCCTTGCAGAAATGTGTATTGCTAATTGGTGACCGAGGGTTTCGGCTGTCCCTGTAGCAGGGGAGCGCTGATGGCGTGCAAGCTGGGGCCTCCAGAAACACCCAGTTCTGCTGCCTACGTGCTCGGCAGGAGGAGGAGGCCGGGTAGTACTCATTCGTAACCCGGGCCACTCTCCTTCCTCGCCTTTGTGGAGCTCAGGCGGACGGTGTCTGAACTGCGGGCCCGGCAGTGAAGGACAGCCCTGTTGTGCTTGCCAGGGCGCTGGAGATGGGTTATCGGCTGGGGGCATCCATTGTAGATAAGCGTTTTCTGTGTGTCGCAGGAAGCTATGTGGCATCCTGCCTGACTCTCTCTGTCTCGTGGAGCAAGGGCTTGTTTTGTCTCTTGGGCCTCTATTCTGTAAATGATTTGAGTCAATATGTCAGCAAATATTGTTGCTGTAACAATTAATGTGTGTAGTGCAGAGCACACGGTAAAAATAGGTCCCGATTCAATGTTGTACCCAAGATTGCTGTAAAATATGTTTCCTCTGTCAGCTCCCTCAGCAGGGATGGACGGTCTCTCTTTTGCAGATATAAAGAATGGGCTTGCTTTGTAACCCTGCCAAAATACTGCCTTTTTCTGTTAAAACAATGGCAAAGACCGGTTACCTCTGTCTGACTTAGAGCAGCAAGTGCACGGAGAATTTCACCCATGGGCTTCTCGGCATTTCTGCTTTCAGTTGTGCTGGGCTTCAGCTTGGTTGCTCTGGGTAAAGGCTCCAGAAAAGGAGACTACGGCTGGCTGCATCAGTTACGGCCTTCCAAGTATGATCTTCCTGTTGCCCGTGTCTCTCAAGTGCTGCATCTTAAGGACCCTGTGATGGTCATGGAGAAGCTTTAGCCAGGCCTGGTGAGGAACGTTTTAGGGGGGCTGAGTCAAAATAAGTTGAATTCAGTCTTCTGGTGACATGCACGCACACACTCACACCCCCCATGAAGTCATATGTTTCCTAGCCTTAAAATCTTTGAAATAAACCCATTCCCTCTATTTGAAATGCAAATGTCTTTTGTCTGTCATCTCTGCACACATTTGAATATAATGTATACAGCTTTTCTTCTTTTCGGATATCCAAAAGTAGCTCCTTCAGAAAGGGGTGATGGTGAAATGCATGCTGGAGGGTGTTCTTACATGATAAATTCAGCACATTGGTCCCTTGCACTAGTCAGGAAGATCTTTGTGGAGTTGTCAGGGGCTGTTGTGAGCAGCCTTAGGATCAGCTACCAAACTGGCTTGAGTGGAAGATCAGTGATCCTCTGCTTTTGACGACTTGGAGGAAGTTCTAACACAGAACTTGCATTTAAGAAAGAAAGAAACAAAACCTGCTAAAGAAGGTGACCTACTGGATGGCTATGAACATCTCACAACTACGTCATTTTATAGGGGGGTTCAAATTCAGCTTCTCTCACAGGTCTGTCCATTCAAGGAGGAGGTTATCTCCCATCCATCCTGGTGCTGCAGCCACGCTCGCTCGGACGTGGTGTCCATCCATGGGGCGTGCCTGCCTGCTTTGACACTCAGGTATGGTCTGGTAGGACAGCAGGAGGACATGAACTCCATTCCAGTCTCGTAAAGAAACACTTGAAAATGGACGTGATTGCCAAATCATTACCTGGATGACTGACTTGGCTTTTTCCATCTTGCTTTTGTGCGCCGTCTCATTGAAGATCCATCTGAAGCAGGTGTAGACTGCATCTACTGACCTGGCAGTGTGTGCAATGCCTCTTCATTTACTGCTCTCTTTCTCAGTAAGCTCCAGGTACCCAGGACATTTTGCGTCCTTTGGCTAAGGTATGGTGTCTGGCCTAGCCGACGACTTCTCAGTGAAAAAACACTTACGTTGAAGAAGATAAATCCAGGAAAGGGGCTGGCAGCCTTTGGTTGTGAGTAATGCCGCTCTCTGCGGCACTGACAGGGTGAAATTATGGTTTGAATGGTGATAAACCGAGGAGATAAACAGCGCAAGTTGTTAGCTTTAAATCTTTATATCGCAAGTGTTTGTCACGACGGTTTGAAGGGAAAACAGTGTGTTCAGTGTTGTATGGGATCGCTGACAAATTACTCCTGCTATAGAAGAACCTTGTTGTTAAAGGTTTATAACTCTGCTGTAAAATCCTTGCTGGTTTGACGCTCTGCAGACAGATTTGGAGCCAGGAGGGCCTGTCCGTCTTCAGAAAAGCTGAGTTGTGCTTTACTTGAAAGCGTAACTGCTGCTCAGCTCAATTTTGAGTCTGAAGCTTTGCTCTTGTAGAAGGGAGGGAGTGGGCTGGGGGACCTGGGTCCTGCGGTGTGGCTGTGCCACCTCCTTGCCTCCTTTGCGCCTCTCTTTCCTTTCCCACCCTCTATTTGACTTGACCCTTTAGCCTTTAAGCTGTCCGGAGCAGGGACCCTGTTTGAACAATACCTAACGCAATGGGAGGCTGATCCCAGGTGAGGTTTCAAGGCTTTCCTGCAAGGAAAAATGATTGCAATTACATCCCCTGCAAAAATAAATGTGCACATAAAAAAAAAATCTCAGGCTCCAGCTGCAGTTTCTGCAACTGAACAGCCCTGCATTTATTATAGGATTATCTACAAATTCAAATAGGTTGTCTCTTTCACTTCACTGAATGCTCTGATCCTAAATAAGCAAATTACATCACCTATTCTGGTGTCCTGTTTAACTTATGACCTCAGCCTGAGCGCTGCAGGATGTGAGAGATAGCTGCTTTATTTCATTGTCTGGCGATCTGATATCTTTTTTTTTCCCCCCCTTCCCTGCTCTCTCAGTTTCAAAGCTGCTCACCCCAGCCTTTTAGAAAGGTGTTAGCATGGGATTTAGGAGTAGGCGGGGAGGAGGGGGGGAGGAAGAGAGGAAACCACCATTTTTTTTGAAATTAGGTGCAAA